CAGTTCAACTTCTTTCACTTAACACTTTGGAACATAATCACTAAGTACGGTATAGTACTGAGTATATAGTGATGGGCATGGTGCCTAGCATCATAGATGTATGGGGCTATGATTGGGAGTTTGTTCATCCTCTTCTCCTACTTATTCTTCTTCAGATATTCAACACCCATAACTAACTAAAAAAAACCTACATATATACAGTAATGAAATTTCGTAAGAATGTAGATATCTGTCACCCGAAGAGACTGGTTATGTTTACAAAGAGGCATAATTATAAGGATAGTGTAAAAAGAAAGGGAGACAAGATAGGGATAGGGATGGGATATATGAAGCACGGTTAATGAACAGATTTGAGCACGCTGACACCCCCAAAACCCCATCACACAATCCCTTTACTTACAGCTTGAAAATACAAACTAACCTAGCCAACACCGTCACCATAACAAAGTGAAGTCATGCTACTGTGTAACCAAGGGTCCATAAGGTGCGGTGGTGTTAGATGGCTCAGAGATCACCTCAGTCAGGCAGGCAGTGGAGGATGCTGACTACTGCACAGTCTCATTCAGTGCAGCAGTGGGAGATGATCAGGAGGGACTGTGCAGAGATGATTCTCATTCTGCTAGCGTGACAGTAGTTGATGTTCCCACTGTGCCAGAATTAAAGTGCAAACCCTCGGCGAACTGCGCATGCGCGGTGATGGGCTGGGCCTTATACGCTTACTCGCGATCTCCCGCTAGTAGCTCGCGGAGAGTGTGACACGGGCTAGCTACAGTAGTAGATAGCATGCGGGAGTCGATACACGCCCTTCGTTGTGGCTTCTTGTGTCTCCGAGGTACACAGAGCAAGCGGATCAGGTCGAGGTAAGCCAGTGCTGGCTTGTTCACTTAGTTTTCACGCCATAACTTTTGAACGCGGAACTTTTACGAAAAACGCTTATTTTTGAATAAAGCCAGTGTAGCGCTGAACCCGCTGGTGTCGCTATTTTACCTGTTTGTTGCGCATGGTGGCAGAAAACGTGGTAGCAGACGGACGGAGAGACAGACCAAGTACTGTAACCGTTACCAGCAATCTGCCTAGTTTAGCGGTCACGGTGTTATTTCTGTACTTAGCTTGTTGTGCGCCATGTAAACATGTAAACCAGCTTGTTTACGTGTTATTCTTCGTCGCGCATGCGGACAGAACGGTGGTTACCATAGCTACGGGCATCTCTATCTGAAGCGCACTCAGTATTTTTCGAAGGAAGAAGGTGGATACGCCAGCTCTTCGCTACACCACTCTGTGTTGGAGAAGGTTTGACATGAAAAACGTTGTGATGGATATCTGCCTGCCCTTCTGATGGTGTTATCCAACAAGGAACGGCCCGACCTCTACGCCTGTCCTTTGCCATCTTGCAGAGACTGACTTTTTCTGTTTTTAGTGAATGTGGTTATTGACACTCATTTGAATGTATGTTGGTGGATATCAAAGCACCTTCGAGTCCACTGCACGTGAGAAGCTGCGTGAGAAAAGCCACAACTGGCGGGGCGTTTGCTTGGTTGTATATACGACTGAGACTGAGGCTTTGGCCGAGCATTCTTGTGTCAGTAGGCTTGAAGGTTCCACTACTGATGTGCAGGTAGCGTACTAACTGAAACACTGCGTCGTCTGCCAGATAGGTGAGAGTTTCGGTTGTGCCGGTGAACTACTGAACTAGTGAACTACTGAGCAAGTGAACTAGTGAACAAGTGAACTACTGAACCAGTGAACTAGTGAACCACTTAGTTCAGTAATCTACTGAACTAGTGAACCACTTAACCAGTGAATTACTGAACTAGTGAACCAGTGAATTACTAAACTATAGTGAACCAGAGAACTACTGAACGAGTGAACTAGTGAACCACTCAGTACGGGGCCAAGTCCAGTGGAGTGGTAGCTGGGAGTAAAGAAGTGACTGGAAACTGGAGCTCAGGAGCAGAGACTGAACTGAGTGGGCTCACTCCCTCCACCAACTACTCCATTGCAGTAGCTGCAGTCAATGAACAGGGAGATGTGGGTGTCTACAGTCATCCTGTCACTGTGAGGACACTGCCAGGTACACTGTTTCTTTGCAGTAAGCAGTAAGAGTAAGATTTACCCCAAAGGTAAAGACACATCACATGGAGCTTCCCAAAAGATGTCTGCCATTTTTGGTGCTATAATTGCTTGTGTTGCAGTTGTGATGGCCTCTATTGGAAGCTACTATCCATGCAGCAGGTAAGTGTCACCTTCTCCTTCTAGTGCTCACCTGGTAGCTAATAATACAAATCTCCAGGTGCTAAACCCAAAGTGAATACCGAAGATGACCAACTCTATGGCATATCACCCGGTGTATATACCTTATCAAAAACATGCTGTGACGTAGTTACCATCAGATGTGGAATGATATTCAGAAACGTAAGCACGTAAGTGCTGTCACGGATTATGTTGTTGCCTGTGAAAATGAGGAGAAGGAGAGGCAAGAAGCCTCATTTCCTGGCTTCTTCTCCTTGAATATTTTTGGGGACCTGGTTGTCGATGTGTAATAGGCATGTGTCTGATTATTTAGCTTCTTCAGGCCTTTGCACCTCAGTCTGAAAAAGGGTTGCTACAGTTATGTAGTTATGCGAGCAAAAAAAATAGCAAGCACACGTGTGACAGGGGAGACAAGGGACAAAATAGGCCACTGATTTCATCTCAATGCCATTGCCAATTGCATGTAAGAAAAGTAGAATCCTATTCAGTCTACACTCTAATAATATGTCCCATTACTGTAAAAGTTCCAGCATGGCTGCTTGTTTCAAGAGACAAGCACTGAAAGACTTCCCTTACGGTGTAAATTTACTTCCTGCCACTCCTCTCCATAAATCTCTACCTCTGTGACTTCTTCTTCTTTCTCATTTTCTGCCTGACTGGAATCCTGAACTCCATGTGATGAGTCTGCCTGGGAGCTGTGGTGGCGTAATGACATGACACTCCGAAAATCTCCACGTGTCCAGCCATATGCCAGAGCATTCAGAAACCCTTGGATAGGAACAGTTAGTGCCTGTATGTAGGTATATATTGCGTTTGGTGTAAAGAGGTGTAACATTTTGCATATATATAATAATATTACCTCCAACACAAGGAATATGTAGGCTCGCTTCATGGAAAGAGACGAACTTGGATTTCCAGGATGTATTACAATACATATGTTGGCTATTCCACTCACAAACGCTGCAGTAAATACATTTAAAACACCAGTTTTTGTGTATTTACAACAAACTGATAGTTCCAGTTATGATGTAAATGCAGAAGAAGAGAAACACTCTATTCCTGGCATCTTTCTGGTGTTCAATAATCATAGCTTGAGCGGCTTGAAACAACGGAGATTGTTCTGTCGAGAATGCTGGTTATATATAATGACTGAGCTGTAGACACCTGACCTTGCTGCAATATCATGTTCTTGATTCGATGAAACACCTTGTAATAGATTACAACCATGCAGGAGAATACTACCAAATAGTTTGCTGCAAGTAGTACAGAATAACTTGTTATGAAATAGTGCAGTTGGTCCAAGTACTGCCCTCCCTATAGATAATGTAAATAAGAAATTTCATAATTTGCGTCAGAAATGTCTCTTACACTGCCAATATGGTAGCCAATTGGTGGTCGAGGAAGAACATTCCCATAAAAGGGCAAACACCTATGTTTTGAAAGTGTATCCCACTTTGACGATAACTATTTTGACTAGAGGTAGTTAGTAGGTTACCAGCATGAACACATGTTAGCTTTGCGGACCAGCTGGTACTTTTGAGATAGCACCCCAAATGGAATGACAATCAGTGTCATTGGTAGCAGCCTTTATCAAGGATAAAGAACTAGGAGACGCTGTCAATACACACCAGTTGTAACTTACCAAGCAGTGGAGTAGGCAATGAATGAGCGGACAGGGTGCCATATGTGGACAGAGACAGGTCTCCATTGCATCACCTATACAGAGAGACACAGGTGTAGCTAACTGGTGAATACTCTAATAATTATGATTGAGAATTACTGTTTCATAGCATGGCGGTTAGAGGTTTGCTTTTGTTTGTGTTTTGTTGTGTTGAAAATTTGAACCCCTACCAGTTGAGTTGCCTGGGTAGCTCAGTTGGTAGAGTGCTCGCCTAGACGGCAGAGTCTTGAGGGTTCGAATCCAACTTAGGGCAGCTCTTCTGAGTTGAAGTGGATGTAGTAAACTTGTTTGCTCTGCCCTTGCCTTGCTACCTCGTTGTTACATGCAATCTGCAGCTCTCGGAGCACCCAAACTCCATTACTTTACTTTTTCTGAGAATTTGGGAACTAGGCGACAATCACTGGTGTTTATGCAATCATGGTGTTTTGACTGTACATGTACGTTTGTGGTTCCAAGTTTCCCGGTGAATGCTTACATAAACACTGCTGAAGTCTCTTTGTTTAATACTGAAATATGCCAACAGAGCGTAGATAAGCGTCACATTCATTGCCACACACTGTAGACTCTGTTGAGGAAACAAGTCATTAAGGCAACATTTACGTTTGGGAAAGAGAGGAAACATTTTCACTATGTGGCACAAACATTCATGAATAAACCAGATCAGAGATAGCTTACAATACTTACAATTGTTGTAAGGCTGATAGCAAAGCAGCCGACTCGAGAGCTATTCTGCTTTGCTGCCCCACCTGTCAGCCACAGAACAGAGCCACTCATCCATAGGAGACTTAACATAACATCCACAATGGAGAGAACAAATATTGGATGGACCTATGGAGAATATTTTGACATCTAAGTGCTTTAATTTATGCTTTGCATACCTTTGGATTACATGCAGTTTTCTTGCATATTGCTGAACCAACTATCGAGAAAGCTCCTAAAATACTGCAGCGACAATGTAATAGTGCATGACTATCATAGCAAACCTTAAACCTGCTGTAAACAGTCTCAGTATCACAACAGTGTCAAACTCTCCTTTCTAGAAAATCACGAGCATAACCATCAATGGCTATAGCAGCTACTTTCCAACCTGAGTGTCGTTCATATTGCAGTCGAGTTCCTCGGAACAGTCTGAAGAGTTGTTAACATGTTCCATTGTGTTCACTGTCCACTTGCACCGGTTGCGTTTCATGGACTGCGCATGCGCGCAGAACTGTACGCTTTGCTGTGATATCTACCTCAGACAGCAGGATAGACTTGAGATTTTACACGAAGATCTTAGAACATAGCTACGTACTCCAGCGCTGACTAAAGTGCGACCCTCGGCGAACTGCGCAAGCGCGGTACCGCTAATTGATGGGCTGGACTATTAGTATGCATTTACTCGTGGTCTCCCGCTAGTAGCTCGCGGAGAGTCTGACACGGGCTAACTAGAGCAGTAGATAGCATCCGGGAGCCGATACACGCCCTTCATTGGGACTTCTTGTGCCTTCAAGATACACTGAGAGCAAGCGGACCCGCTTGAGGTAAGCCTGCGTTCTCGCTCGTGTTTCACGCCGTAACTCCCGAACGCAGCAGTTTCAGAGAAAATCCCACATATATTTCGACCTTTATCAGACGCTGAATACGTGGTAGCGTTTGTGGAGCGATTGATGGCTCGTGAAATGAGATGTCGAGTAACGGACTGACAGCAGACGGACTGACAGCAGACGGACTGACTGTAACCCTCGATGCGCATGCGCGCCGAGGGTTTTTTACGCGCTGGCGCGACGCTATAGGTTCCCCTCGCGCACGCCAGTCCGCGAGCGTGTTTCCAGAAAGATGTTTGTAAGAAGGGAGATGCAAATCTCTCTGTTCCTTCTCTTGGCAGGCTTTTCAGTTGTAACTCAAGCACAAGGTAATTCTTGTATGATTGTATCATACTTTTCAAAAAACTACGCCATTCATAGAGGTTTCTGGTGACTTTGGTTTGACTTACACCTGCATTTCTTTGTAATCTAACGACTTTGGCACCATGAGTATCTCCATATAAAATTATATACTTAAAAATCACATTAGTATATACCCAGTACTGTAGCAATCTCTCATATAGCTAATATAGAAATTCTATGGAGGCTCTGCCGGGACACATTCATGTGCCTTGGGTAGTTGGGTTTTAATATTCACGATGGTAGCTAGTGTATAGCTATGGCTAATAGGAAGCATATACTCTGCTCTTTACACATGTGTAGCGTCTCTCCCACTGTCTTCAGCTGCAATAGCATGGAGCAGGGCATGCCCAATGGTGTAGAGCAGTTATAGCAAACAGAGCATGCCATTGTAGACAAGAATGGTGGAAAAATGCAGCATTATCAGCTTCTTCTCCCCAGTGGCTCATGCTATATATTCCGTGGGATAACGGTTTCCCCTCGATACCAATTTTCCCCTATATATGTAGTGAAACCTCCAAAAATAACACCTCTTAATAAAGACATGTGATTCGGCCTCTGGTTCTAGTATGCATTAGTTAAACAAGAGATGCAATGTCCCCAAGGTGTCCAGTATTCAGTGTGATTAATCATAATTATATCTATGTCTTGTGCAGCTCCAACCATAACAGACCATCCCCAAGATTTGCTCGCTGGTGCTGGAATGACGGGTTTGCAGTTTTCCTGCTCTGCATCTGGTGTCACCTCACCGACCATTACTTGGGAACGGGTGAATGCAGACTCTACTACAACGCCTATAACAACAGGCATCTCAACGACCATGCCATCAGCAACCACCTCACAAAGCACACTGGCTCTACCTCCAGTGTCCTACAGTGATTTTGGCATGCGCAGATGTGTTGCAACCGTCTCATCCATGACTACTGAGTCCAATACAGCTATCCTTACTGGTTAGTTAACTGCTAGTCTTAACTCGAGGTTAGTAAACATAGAATTATGCTTACAGGCAATAGACTAATTTTAGTAAGGCAATAGCATCAGTCATCAGTTACAGCACAGTGTTGAGCATGAGTCCATGACTACAAACTAACGGATAAGTTATGTAGGTCAAACTTGATAGCACAAAGATGGGAAACCTATAGGGTATAGAAGCCAACCGGGACTGTTGGTATAACTCTGTTATACTTGGTACACTTGATGTGGGGGTACACGTCAACTCTGATGTCATAATTCTACTACATACATACATGTACATTGAAAAATCACATCTCCAGTGATACCTATTAATAGGCAAGGACCAAACAACGTGAAATGATAACTGAGTGAGAGGTTTTTGCTACAGTGGATTAACTTAGTTCGAAGCCTATTATACAAGTGTTAGCTACTAATTGCTTCAATTATTGGCATTATACCCGCAACCTTCGTGGTAGCCCATAAACTAGCCATCATAATTATTGTTGCCTTTGTCTCATACATTATGATTATTTTGTCCCAGTAAAAATAATTATGATATCACCGAAAGCCATCATCATTCTCCACAGTCTCCCCACAGGGAAGTGTTATCCTGAGTGCAAATGAAGTTGGCACCATGGTTACTGTGCAATGCCATGCACTGGGTGGTCCTGACAACACCTTCTCCATCCGTGTAAATGGAGTTGAAGTGGCCACTAGTGACATGTTTGTCTTGGACACTTCCACCGATGCACAGCTTGGTGGTGTGTATCAGTGTGTCGTAACAAACGGTGCAGGAACTGGCTCCGCCACTACTGGTGTGAACAGTAAGTCACACAAACAAAGCGTCACCTTAATTATGTGTGTTTTAGCTGCTAAAATTTTCTACCAAATTACGTATCTACAACAGCTACCCCAGCACCGGCATAATTATTAAGCGGAATTCTTTCAGTCGACCAAGCTATGAAGTGGCCAGCTGCTAAATTGTTTGGCAAATTACGCGTCTAAAACGGATACCAGATAAGTGGAATTCTCTTAGTTGACCGAGCTATTGGTGAGCTTTAACCGCATTATGGCTCGTGTACGATTGCGGTGTTCAATGCTTATCCTATTTCAGAAATTTGTGTTATGGAGGCCAGTGGATATGACAATTCAGAGACTTAATACAACTCATGTCTGTTTTCCTATATATAGCTGAGCCACAGATATCTCAAGCTCCACCAGATGAGGTTGTGACTGCTGTGGGATTGGACGTCGCAATAATGTGTGTAGCTGTTGGATTTCCAGTACCGGGAATATCCTGGGTCTTTGGAGGCACTACACTCACACCAGCTGGTGATATAGGCATCACAGAAACTCCTATTGGCACAGAGATCAGCAGCACTCTAACACTCTTTGGAATCACGGCTGATAGAGCGGGGACTTATTCATGCGGTGCAGATAACTCAGAAGGGGTAGCTACGACAGATACAGAAGTTGTTATTACTGGTAAGTCATAGGTCAGGAATGGTATGACACGTGTTTCAGGTGCAAATTATAAGATACCCCGCTAGCATGAAATCTAGCTACCATTATTGACAGAGTGTTTTGCTAGGTTCATCCACACGATTTTCATTTTAACTCTTGATTGAGACGTTTGATCTGTGGTAGATTTGTAACCAATGCTGCTTGGCGTCTTAAAAAGTGTGTGCTGTTACTGTGTGAGGTATAATAATACTATATACACAGTTTCTCCCGACGGAAGTCTGTCAGTCACCCCAGTTGAGACTTGTGCAGAGGGAAATGAAGAGGTGATGTTCACATGTTCGGCCAGTCAGGGAATTGGCAATACTTTCAGCTGGGAGGACGTGGCAACCGGTGACATGGTTGGCATTGGGGAAGTACTGACCGTGACAGCTCAAAGTGCAGCACAGTACAAGTGTACCGTGCTGAATGTGGCTGGTTCCGGCTGTATTACTGCCACCCTCTTATGTAAGTGGAAGGAATTTCTATGTATACCATGAACATGCATTTTATGGCACGGTTACTATGATACAGAATTGTTAAAGTGGTATGTATTATACACCTAATCACCTAATCTAGTTTGTTAAAATAAATTACTGTTAATAAGTAGCCATAGAGAAGGTAGACCAATGTGTGTAGCTACACGTGGCTAGCCCATGTTTTCACACAGTCCCTCCAGATCTAAAAGAGTGTCCATGGTCACTAGCAGTGGTGGAAGGAGATGGTGCAGAGTTCACCTGTGTGTTTGAAGGTCAAGTAACCACCATCATGTGGTTGCACAATGATATGGAGATTGAGCCAGACGACAACTACCGGCTGCGAGTGACGGAAGACAGCAGTGGAGACATGCTCAGGACTACTCTCACCATACACAAGGCAACCCTGGGGGACATAGGAAGTTACACTTGCTCTGCAACACTCATCGACTGTGACCCTGTCACAGGCACTGCTGAGTTGCAGGTCAAACGTGAGTCCAGGAAACTACAGCCTTGCTTACCATATTTCTTTTTTCTAAGGTCTAGCATGATTTTAAATTTGTGCATCACACATAATGCACTAGTCACATATATACCAGAGCCAAGTATTGCCCTACAGCAGGAGGTTTCATATCTGGAAATCCTCACAATGCTCCTATGCAATTTCATGAAGCCACCGATAGTTTTTTTGATGGTAATATAATTAATTATACTAGCCACTTTAGTGAAAAAAACATTTCCAAAATTGCTGAAAGATGGTGTTTTGGGGACTGTAAAAATATTGGACACAAGTTTGAACAGCACCTTAGAATGTAGGCAAGTAGAAAAAGATTTTGTCATGGAATCATTGCAGAGATCATCCCCCTATGGCTATTGCCATTGATTCGAGGACAGCCTGGGCTAGACGGTCGTGATGGTGAAGATGGAGATAAGGGTGAAGCAGGGAGAATGGGAGACACGGGAGCTCCTGGGGAAATGGGAACCGGGAAAGGAGACAAAGGAGACCACGGTGAAAGAGGAACGAAAGGACAAAAGGCAAGTTACTTTCATGTGTGACGTACAGTGAAACATCCTCCAACGATAGACACCCTGAAGTGGGAAACATCTATACACACCGTCTCATAAACTTAACCTCCAAATTGGTTTGTGAATAGGGAGAAATTGGTGTGAAAGGAGGAGTCGGCGAGACGGGAGACAAGGGAGAGAAAGGAGAGAAAGGAGCAGATGCTACTAGTGCTGGAGTGGTCTACACTGCCTGGGGTCTCTCAGAGTGCCCTACCACCGAAGACACTGTCACTCTCTTGCAAGGAGGTCTCATGTCCACCTCTCCAAAAGCCATGTTGGGCTCTGGTGCCAACTACATCTGTCTTCCCAGCAATCCAACATTCAGTGCAGCCACTAGTCCTAGCAGTTCTCCTTTATCTAGAATTGCAGGAGTTGTTTATAGTACTAGTGGAGAGGTGCTTGCAACCAGCCATGGAACTGCAGCACCTTGTTCCGTCTGCTTCACCACACAAGCTGTCCAGTTGATGATCCCAGGACGAGCCACCTGCCCTGGAGCAGAGTGGAGGCTGGAGTATCGTGGCTATCTCATGTCCTCCAGAGACACACCAGGGCAACCGCTTTCCACTGAAGATCAAGACAACCATCGATTCCGTACAGAGTATGCGTGTGTGGCAGCCGAGACTGTTGGGATTCCACTGAGTGGTTCTGAAGGTGGTGATTCTGAACTGTATCATGTTCATCTGAACTGTGAGGCTGGTACATCTCTGGACTGCAGCACCAGAGGATATACTTCAGCTCAACAGCTCACATGTGCTGTCTGTACTCTAAAGTCTGTCACCTAGAAAAATTTTTATGCTGGGACCAATACACGCATGCGCAGCAGACGCGGACGTGTACGCATGCGCATAAACGTATCCCGGGTGTAGTTCAAAAGGTCGTGTTCTTATCCACGTGGAGCGTCTGTATGAGTTGAAAGGCGGCCGCCATGAGTGACTGGGAAGAAGACTGCTCTCCTCCTGTGGCATACAATTCCCGTATTGAGACACCGACACCCAGAGCAACTTTCGGTAGGAATGTCACTTAGTATACTGCTGCTTCTCAGTTTACTGCCGTTAATAGCACGTCTGGGATGCTCTTGCATGAATGCTATGCATAAGTGTAAAGGTTGGGGGTAGGACTGATGTTTTGTCATTGTGTCAGGTTTTGGTGGTGGTGAGAGGAAGAGAGGGAGAGGGAGAGGGAGGGACCGGAGATCTTATGATGATGACGAAGGCAGAGGTGACTTGTGTGTCCACTAGTGTCTCTGTAGTACATGAAATATCCAGCCTGAATCTCTCCTCTCTCTTTGCCTATGTTAACTACATATGAAGGCCACTTCTATATAGCTGATTTTTTGCCTGCAGAGGGTGTTTATACGTAGTGAGAAGCCAACTTTCACACGTTTCTCGCAGAGAGGGTCAGAATAACCAAGGAAGCTCATTGAACTCCGGGGCATATTCAGAGTTGTGTAACATGGGCGAAAGACTGCTCTTAGTAGTAATTTACTACTGTAGTTCAAATTGTGTCCATTTTTACTGTACATTCACCATCTGTGGCATCGGCTATAGTCTTCCATACATTCTTCAACAGGAGGAAGCAAGTCGTTTGGTTGGGGACGGGCTGATGATGGAGGGGGCACAGGGGGGTGGGGAGGGGGAGGGTCAAGAAGGAGTGGGGCTGGGGGAGAGGGAGATTGGGGGAGGGGAGGGGAGGGAGGAGGAGGTAGAGGGTGGGGCAGTCAGGCAGATGAGGGTGAAGACAGTATCACCATATCCGTTGCTCGCTCTGAAGTTGGCAGAATCATAGGTGTGTACTTACATATGTGTATATACACCCATAGTATGTTGAGTGGTGTTCTGTGCAGGTCGAGGAGGGCAAAGAATACGAGAGCTGGAGGAGAAAAGTGGAGCCAGGATAAAGGTATTGTATAGCATTTGTGTTTGCTATTCGTGATGCGTTGCAGTTCTGAGTGTACTAAGTGAGAGTTTGTGGTAGAGTTGAGGTTTGCATTGTGGTGTAGATTTGAGCCCCAGCCTGCTGAGTTACCCTAGTAGCTCAGTGGGTAAGAAGGGATCTGCGTGCAGAGTGCCGTGGGCAGCTCTTCTTTCTTCTCTATAGTTGGAGCTGTCCTGGGTGTATTTGACTTGTTTGCTTTGCATTTGGCTTGTGGCCTCGTTGATATTTGCATGTATGTGTACATGTACCAGGTCCACAGAGACGATGAAGGGGGAGGGGGAGGATCAGACGAGGCACTGGTGGAGGTCACAGGCGATGAGTCAGCCAGAAAAACAGCTCAGGAGCTTATTGATGACATCATCAGTAGCCAGGACTTCAGAGGTATATGAAGAGCACTGAAGCGACATCGCGTGTTGACCGGCTTATTTCTTGTGGTGGCATAACAGACAGACAGAATAAACCAAATACCGTAACACTCGCTGCATATTCAGGCTGAGGGTTGATAGCGGGCAGTATAGTCACACAGTGTTTAAGGAGTTTTGTCTGGTTTTATTGTAAGGCAGGGGCTCAATGACGATGCACCAATGCAGGTGAGTGAATTAGTTTTGAATTAGGATAGGTCCTTGAATGATTAGTAAAAAAATTTTCATGCTAAAGATGCAGATGAAGAGTTAATTTACACACCCGTTTGCTTCATGGAAGCACATATATACATAATGAGTAGCTCCACCCTCCTCATTATTTTACTTCAGCGTGATGTAACCTACAGTAATTGTGTACGTGCAGGAGGTGGGTCCAGGCCACGTGGTGGAGGTGGCAGAAGTGGTGGGTTTGGTTTTGGTGGCGGAGGTGGTGGTCGTAGTGGTGGCTTTGGTAGTGGTTTTGGAAGGGGTGGGGGTGGGTTTAGCAGTGGTGGTGGAGATGGAGGAGGAGGTGGCAGTGGTGGGTTTGTGAAGATAGACTGGGGAGCTCTGAATGCCAGCAGAGCTCAGGCTGAGATTGAGAAATGGAAAGGTGATGTCCATTTATTTTCAGAACATACGTGTCAACTTTTCCACCCCGTATTATTGTTAGGGGCACCCCCTATTAATAAGATGTTCTACCGAGAAGACCCAGAGGTGGCAGGACTCTCGTCGGCACAAGTTGAAGACATCTGGTACAACACCTCTTCCTCAACACTTACTCATAATTATATCCCACGCCACTTGATACATGTTAATTGAACACAACAAACAAGTAAATCTTGAGAATGAAGCAAAAGTTAAAAAAAAACTTCAGTAAGTCAATGCCGTTAAGCTGTTCACCCCGTTTCTGCTGCAATTCATTTCTACTATTATGCTGCAACTTGCTGTGTGTGCATAAAGCTAGCGACATGTGACCACTGGGAAATGATAAACCTTTAGTTAACCTCTTTGGACACTGTGCAGGTTGAGTATGAACGACTTGAAGGTGACAGGTCTGTCAGGGGAGAGCAGAGCCATCCCTAATCCCGTCACCACATTCCAACAGGCCTTCAGCAACTATCGTCAGTCTGGGTTGTATGAAATATGCACGTGTGTATGTCTCAGCATGTGTTTAGTACTACTGTTTGACCTTATATGTTGTTGCAATTGATTTTCTGCTCTGCCCATAGCTGAAATCTTGGATGAAATCACCAAAGCTGGTTTCCAGAAACCGACTCCAATTCAGGTTTCTTCTTCCCGTTGGCTTTTTACCTCTTTAACCCCTCCCCTCCCGTTGCAGTGTCAGTCGTGGCCCATTCTGCTGCAAGGCTATGACATGGTCGGGATTGCACAAGTGAGCCCCTGGTAATCATGTCAATCTGATGGTGTGTGTTGGTTCTCTCCTCACCTGACTCCTGCTCCTTCTCTCCCTCCCCCTCCTGCCCCCCTGTTGTCTAGACTGGTACAGGGAAAACACTGGCCTTCCTACTGCCTGCTCTTATACACATTGATGGCCAAGAGATGTTAGCTATGCACTGTGTGAACCAACACTATTCAACTGCTATACGTACATATTTTGCCTAAAACACTTATACACACTTACGTGCTTTTAGATTTAGAAATACACTACTTTTGTGCATGTGAGTAAATAGTTTAACCAATGAGATGGATATCTGGTGCATTGCTTTTGTGCAAAATGTAATCCGGCCTTACCGTCCCTGCTTGTGTGGCCCTCACAGCCAAACACTCTTGTAAGGGTATGAAACAGTAAATTCCTTGCAATTTTGCATGCAAAAAACTTTAGCAATCGTGAGATTGTGTTTTGTCCATCTGTGCCCAGACCTCGAGGTGAGAGAGGAGGTCCAACTGTCCTGGTCCTGTCCCCCACCAGAGAGCTGGCCCTGCAGATAGAGGCCGAGAGCAACAAGTACTCCTACAAAGGAATAAAGTGGTGAGTCCGGCTACAGGCCTCTCTACTAATGCTGCCTGCAGCAGTACAATGGCTATATACTAGAACGAATGGCACTAATTTTTGGCGAGCGAGCGGAAGCAGTTCAATTTTTTTCACCTGTATTTTAGAATCACTCTAGAACACTTCTGTGCCTGTTACATACAAATAAAGATTTTTCTCGCTTATGTTGGAAAAATTCCAATGCCTGTTAACACTATGGGCGCCGCCGCGCGCCACTTAAATGGCGCGCGCGTAATTGCTCAGCAACGCCACGCGCCACTTTAGTGGCGCGGAATTATGTATTACGCGGATGGGCGTGGCAATATTCCGCGCATGCGTAATTCCGCGTACGTGGAGAAATTTCCGTAATACTACGCGGCGCGCAAAGTGTTAAATGAAAAAGTAACCCTTACATTTGTGAGCACTTTTAAGTACTGTATAGCTTTGGCCCTGTCAGAAATACCTTAACCTAGCCCTTAATGCATGTCTCAACAACTTGGTAATAAGGTAGAAAGGCAAGGCAAGGCAAACAAGTCAACTACACCCAGGACAGCTCTTTCTTTTTCTAATGCATGCATGTGTACGATGGTCAGTTAATCCTGTGGTATCAACACAAGGCCAGTATGTGTGTATATACACCTCTGGCAGTCTGTGTGTGTATGGTGGCGGTGACCGGAGACAGCAGATAAACCAACTCAGAAAGGGAGTGGAGATCATCATCGGTAAGAGAGAGAGGCTGGCCCCACAACTATAATAATATCAGTGATGAATTTGTCTGTCTGTCCAACAGCTACTCCAGGTAGACTGAATGACTTGCTGATGAACGAAATCCTAACTGTCAACACTGTCACTTACCTGGTCAGTGCTGCATTTTGTGTGTGGTTTTGACCAAAGCAATGTTCGTCGTAATTACTTTTCAATTTGGATGTCACTGTCTCTGCCACTTGACAATGTGCATGTGCAGCTATCACTTGTATCTACTCCATTCGCTTGCTAAATAAGAATCCTTTTTTACTTGTTACTCCCCTGCCACTGAACTTCATGTGCACTCTCGCTTTGTTCATCTGTGCTGTTTGTCTGTCACATCACTAGGTGTTGGACGAGGCTGACCGTATGTTGGACATGGGGTTTGAGCCTCAGATCAGGAAGATTCTCCTGGACATCCGGCCGGACAGACAGACTGTCATGACCAGGTCAGGGACCACTACTGCTTAAGTATATATAGTATACGTGATGTAGCATCAATACAAATGCACGAAATAAAAAGTTAAAGAAGCTTTGTAGTAAAGTATATGTTACTGAGCAGGATTTTTGCCTCTCGATCATTGTAGTGCCACATGGCCGCCGGAGGTCCGTAGACTGACTGACAGCTACATGAAGAACCCGTACCAGGTGTCAGTGGGTTCCCTGGACCTCAGAGTGAGTAGTATCACCCCTGTCTACTCTGACATAATATGACATCGTTGGTGGTGTGCCTGCAGGCGTGCACACTGGTGGAACAGACGGTAGAGTTTCTGGACGAGAGTAGGAAGAAGGAAAGGGTGAGCATTTGCACTAACTGCATGGCTCGCGGGAAACTTCTGAGGCAGAATGGCTTCGCGTGAAAAGTTTGCTAGCTGTTCGCAGAAAGTTTTCCCATATAATTGTGAGAGGTAGCTAACACGTGTATAACAGAGAGAAAGTTTCCACTATACTGTCGTTGTACACGAGTTTCATGCAAACGGCTTTTAGTATTCCCCTTCTAACGTTTCCCACTCTGGTTGTTTCAGACACTGGAGTTCATAGAGAACATGCAGGAGGGAGAGAAAGTGTTGATCTTCACTGGAAGGAAAGTCACGTAAGTGGCAGATCGTACAATGTAAGAAAACTTTATCTGAATAATCACCTAGTACATGTCATTGTCCTTGTTTCTCCGTGTTTGGGTATGTGCCTGTGTGACACAACAGTTTTTTTTATCCCTCCCCGACAGAGCTGATGATGTGGCCAGTGACTTTACCCTGCGAGGCCTCAATGTCCAATCTATCCATGGTGACAGGTGGGTAGCTGCATGTGGCTCCAGCAATGAGGTTTAGTGAGTCTTGTCTGTTGGTCCAGGGAGCAGTATGACAGGGAACAGGCCCTGGATGACTTTAAGACTGGTATATACAGACAGAGTTTGTAGTTGTGAGCTTTGCCATGATCTGAGCGTGGGTGTTACTTACGTCCCCATTTTATTACGAAAGTTGCTTGCTGTGCGAAGGCCCCCTTTCTTACGTCATGCCCTTCAGTTGAACATTTTGTGCTGTCCTGGATGTTGTTACTTCCTTTGCTTTGCACTTGCTTTGCTTACATAATGATAGGTGTAAAATCCTTTAACTGCACTGATCGAGGATTGTGCCACTATTATTGTAGGTATAGTCTCAGTGCTGATTGCGACTGATGTGGCCTCCAGGGGACTAGATATCAAGGACGTCACGTAAGTACCTACAGGGGGCCAGGGATGGCTTTTTCACACCCTGGTAATCCCCTTGTCTCCAAGGAAATTATATGCTGTGTGGATGCCCACCTTGGTTCCTTTCCGTGACTCTCTACAGAACTACTTTATGTATACATGCAACTTTGTTTCCGTGACGGCCAATATAAATTTTTGTTCATACTTTCTTGCCCTTTTTTGATTCAGTCACTTAGTTTTGCCCCAAGAGAGATGTGTAGAGTACAGTAACAGTGCTCCTCGTGCAAATCCTCATGTCGTATGCAGGCATGTGGTCAACTATGACTTTCCCAACCACATCGAGGACTATGTTCATCGTGTGGGCAGGACTGGACGAGCAGGGTGAGCCCCGCTTGGTTCACACACACCCTAGTGGCAGGAGTGTGTGTGTGTGTGTTCTGTAGGAAGACGGGGAAGGCTCTGACATTCATCACCAGAGAGAACTGGAAGTGGGCCAGAGAGCTCTGCAACATCCTCGCCCAGGCCGAGCAGGTCAGAGCTCAGCTAATAATTAATAAGCGTGTCACCATAATATGGTGTTGTAAGGACACAGCAGTGTCCAGTGTATATAAGTACGCAAGCGAAAATTGTGTAAAGACGTCCTCTGAATTGCTGTGTTTTCGGTCAGAGAATTCTCTATTTTCTCCAGTGCCTGCAGTTCTTTTTGGGCATTGCACCAGCTTGAAACGCAATTTTCTGTGTTGCATAATGTGGGTTTGAGTGCATGAACCTAGTTGAGTTCCTTGGTGTGAATGTGGGTGTTTCATCACAGGTGGTGCCTGATGAGTTGGTGCAGATGGCAGAGCGATACGAGTCATGGAGGGAGAGGAAGGAGAGTGAGAGGGGAGAAGGGAGAGGAAGGGGTGGGTTTGGTGGAGGGGGGAGGGGAGGAGGGAGGAGAGGGGGAGGGTTTGGGGGTGGCGGTCGAAGAGATCGCAACATGAGCAGTTTCATTTAATCCCTGGCACTAATGGACAGCACCAGTCAAGTTCATCTCAACGGCAAGACTGTTTGGTTGTAAAGTAATGAAAGTCAAACTCTTATTATTTAACCCGATCATGTACTTCATTGCTATCGTGTAAAGTTTTTGGTGGTTAATTAGGAGGCATGTAAACCAAACATGAAGAAAGAAAGAGAATTAGAGAGAGGGGAACTGAACCGCTTTAACTATAATCCATAGAGTGCCAGAATGGCTCCTAGGTTACAGTGTAAATTGGCATGCCACAATGACTCATAGACTTCTGTACATTAGCGTGCCAGAATGGCTCCCTAGACTACAGTGCCGTAATTGCTCAGTAAAATGCTAGTGTTCCAGCGATGGACTGAATTACATAAGCGTGTCAGAATTTCTAGACACACCTCCTGTGGTGGTGCACTTATATTAGTCAAAAGCACAGAAGCAAGTGCCTCCAAGGGAGGACTTTGTATTCAAAGTGCCCGTTTGGCAGTACAGAATGACTCATATACTACTGTACATTAGCGTGCCAGAATGGCTCCAAGGATATTAGTGGGCCAGGATTACTGGGGTGTAGTTGACCTGTTTGCTTTACCTTGCCTTTCTACCTCGATATACCTTGTTGTTCACACATGACTGACTGCTGTATGACGGTTTCTACGTGATACGCAATGTGTTATTATATGTGTGATGTGACTATTGCGGCCGGCTCAGCAAACTGACCCATTCTGGCACACTACATTAGTCAGTACTGTTAGGTAAGTATATACTAGCCTTGTTCCCAGTCCGTTTTTTGCGGGGGAGGAAAGGGCCTGGGAATGTGGTTAGGCAAGTAGTGGACACCAGCATAGCTACGCACGGTGCGTAGCGATACCGGAGATACGCGGCTCCTACACGCAATATATAGGCACGCACCATACACACAACCTTGCAAACTTACTGCCTGCGCAAACCAACAGCAAAAATGAAGGTTGTTTCCCGAAATGTACGGCTGGGAAGGCACTGGCGACTGTGAACCCCCCACGTACACACGGCATCAGGACAACGCCCTCCTGCTCAGCGCATGCTCACTGCTGAGTTAGCAGCAAATGGTGTCGTTCAGTGTCTCTTGTGAAAAGTCTACGTAGTGACTTGCGACAAGAAAGAAACGATTGCTTGGTGGCCGTGCACACCTCCATCGAATATGATCACATTAATTTTATTGAAAAGTTCGGCGCTGCAAATTGCTCCAGTAAGGAGATAACGGGTGTATTGAAGAAGATGATGATGAAGAATCATGGAATCGCGTATGAGCAAATTCTCACGTGGAGAACCTAGGGCACGTTTGAAGTCTTTGGGAATATGTATAGCTTGATGTGGGCCCGTAGACTACTGCTATTGTATTTTAAAGACACAACGAGTCGTTTTCGCCGAGTTCTGAGGACTTTTGTACGCAGATCACGTGAAATTTGACCCGTGTCATCCCTTTAGAGTGTCTACCGATGCTCCAATGATGACATGAAATCGTGTACGAGCAATTACTCGCATGGGGAACTGAAGGCACGTACAAAGTCTTTGGGCATATCTATAGCTAGATATGGGGCCGTGGATTATTGCTGTGTTTTGAAAGCCTAGCAAGTCATTCTCGTTGAGTTTTGAGGTGTTTTGTGCACGGATCACATCCCTATATACCCTCTACTGATGCTCCAATGATGCTAAACTACTTGTCTTTTACAGCACAGTTCACATTTATTCATGAAAAGTACTGAAGTGCAAACCCTCTGGCGAACTGCGTGAGTGCGATACCGCTAATTGATGGGCTGGGCCGTAGTATTCGTTTACTCGTGGTCTTCCACTAGTAGCTCGTGGAGAGTCTGACACGGGCTAGCTACAGTGGTAGATAGCATGCGGGAGTTGATAGATGCCCTCTGTTGAGACTTCTTGTGCCTCCAAGGTACACAGAGCAAGCGGACCCGGTCGAGGTAAGCCTAGTGTGCTAATTTGCATATTGGCTTGTTCACTTGCTTTTCACGCCATAACTTTGGAACGCAATATTTTTACAAAAATCGCCAGTTTCAAAATCAAGCCATTGTAGCACCGAACCTATTGGCATAGCTTATTGGCTGTCTCTTTGCGCCTAGTGGCAGAAAACATGGTAAAAGATACACAAACCAAGCACCGTAATCCTCGCTGCGCATGCGCGCCGTGTGTTAATAATAGTTAAATATTCTGACTCAGAACCTCCTCCATTCACGAACAAAATTTATCATCACTGCATCATTTAGCTTGAAAGCACTTTCATGCTAACATTGCAAATTAGCTATATCCAGTGACACTTTGACATATGAAAAGTACTGAAGTGCAAACCCTCGGTGCATTGTGACGTCAACACGTCAAACGTCAAAATATGATTACCCTGGTTTTACAGGATGAGTGCAAGAGAAAGCAGTGAAATGAACGTGAAAGACAAATTAGTGATTCCATAGAGATTAAACAACTGATGCGCATGCGTCAGTAAACGCATGCGCCGTACCACTAATTGATGGGCTGGGTTTAATTTTAGTCGTGGTCTCTTGCCAGCTCGCGCAGAGTCTGACGCGGGCTAACTACACTACTAGATAGCATGCGAGAGACGATACACGCCCTGCGTTGCATCTTCTGGCGCCCCCAAGGTACGCAGAGCACGCGGATTGATCAGACCGTGGTAGACCGTGGTTAGCCATCCCCTCCGTTGTGTATTTGCATATTGGCTTTTTCGCACTCTAGCTTTGCAACGGAGCAGTTTGAGAGAAAACCGTTCAAAATTTCTGACCTTCATTACCCGTTAAGTAGGTGATATCCTTTGACAGACACACACAGACAGACACACAGCACTAAAGTGCAAACCCTCGGCGAACTAGGCATGCGAGGTACCACTGATTGATGGGCTGGGCTGCTATTAGTATGCGTTTACTCGTGGTCTCCTGCTAGTAGCTCGCAGAGAGTCTGACACGGGCTAGCTACAGTAGTAGATAGCATGCGAGAGTCGATACATGCCCTTCGTTGTGACTTCTTGTGCCTTCAAGATACACAGACACAGAACAAGCGGACCCGAGCCTGTTCAAAATATAAGCGCATGCGCATTTTCCGCAGCGATTAAAAATGGCCGACTAGCATTAGCCGTACAATGGCGGAAGCGCTCTAGCTCTGCAACGGAGCATTTTCAGAGAAAACTGTTCGAAATTTCTGACCTTCACTGCCCGTTACGTAGGTCGTATCCTTTGTGAGACGAACAGACACTCCAGAAGTGAGATTGAGAGTAACAGACACACGGACAAACAGACTCAATGAAAAGCACTAAAGTGCAAACCCTCGGCGAAGTAGCTCGCAGAGAGTCTGACACGGGCCAGCTACAGTAGTAGATAGCACGCGAGAGTCGATACACGCCATTCGTTGTGACTTCTTGTGCCTTCAAGATAGAAGGAGCAAGCGGACCCGGTCCTTGCTAAATATAAGCGCATGCGCATTTCCGCCAGCGATAAAATGGCGACTACCGGCATTAGCCATACAATGTGGAAGCGCTCTAGCTTGCAACGGAGCATTTTCAGAGAAAACCGTTCGAAATTTCTGACCTTCATTGCCCGTTAAGTAGGTGGTATCGTTTGTGAGACGAACAGACATTCGAGAAGTGAGATTGAGAGTAACAGACAGACACATACACACACAAACAAACCCAATGAAAAGCACTAAAGTGCAAACCCTCGGCGAAGTAGCTCGCAGAGAGTCTGACATGGGCCAGCTACAGCAGTAGATAGCACGCGAGAGTCGATACACGCCATTCGTTGTGGCCTTCAAGATAGAAGGAGCAAGCGGACCCGGTCCTTTGCTAAATATAAGCGCATGCGCATTATCCGCCAGCGACAAAATGGCGACTACCGGCATTAGCCATACAATGTGGAAGCGCTCTAGCTTTGCAACGGAGCATTTTCAGAGAAAAACCGTTCGAAATTTCTAACCTTCATTGCCCGTTAAGTAGGTCGTATCGTTGTGAGACGAACAGACATTCGAGAAGTGAGATTGAGAGTAACAGACAGACACACACACACACACAGACAACCCATGAAAAGC